ATTCAGCGCGCCCCCACTGCTTTCCTCCCCTCGGGCATGTTCACAAGCTCCCATGTCCCCCTTTTAGCTAATGTATCAAGTTCCTCCTGAATTGCAGCCCTCCATTGCTCCTTGTTCGGGCCGGACAGCGCCTCTTCAATGGTGAGAGGCTCGGTGGGCAGTTTGTAGCTTTCCACCTTCCCCTTTGACAGTAATGCCGTTGCCGTGGTGGTGAAGAGGAGGTGGGTGTGGATATCCTTGCAGCAGGTCAAGAGCATTTGAGCATACCTGGAATTTGGTTTCTTAACCCGTTTCCCTTTGCCCATCTCCTCATTCCCTTTTTCAGCTCCTCCTTTTTCTGCTGCTGCATTATCTTCCGCTCCCTGTTGCAGGGTATCTCCTTCAATATCCCTTCCAATATTGATCGCACCATCCGCAAGTAGGTCTTCAATCTCTGCTGCTGCCTTTTCATTGTCCCACGTGTCAATGATGCGCCATGGGTTGGTGTTGGTCGTGCTAGCAGATACGTCCCCACTCTCATCCACGCCTGAATTTTCAGCTTCTTCCTCACCGGTTTCATCCGTTGAGTTGTCACCAGCCATTTTCCCCTTATCATTTGCTTCGTCACTCTATTCCATGGCAGTTGAAGGTGAGGACAGCTCCTGGACTTCCCACAATCGAAACCCGGCGTAGTGTGGTCTTCGTAGTCATCGTTGTCACCGCTTCCATTGGCTGCCCCTATTCCCTCCTTCTCTCTCCCATCAATCCTATCCTCCACTGGAGTTGGTGATGCTGCCGCTTCCTTTAACACAGCTCCCTGTTTCCTTCCCTTCCACTCCAGGTAGGCGTCGCGCTCGTAGAAAGTGACATCTCTGGTCGCCATGACTTTTTTGGTCTCCACGTCGCGAATAACCCACCCTTTGCTTTCAGGGCAGATTCCCAAGTGAATCCCCCACTTGGTCCTTGGGAGAAGCTTGTGATCGGGTCCCGCTGGCTCTTGGTATTGAGTCATGTAGCCCCAAACACGTAAAAACTCTAGATTTGGCTTCCTCTTGTAGAATGCCTCTTGAGGGGTAATGTCCGCCGCTAGTCCCTTTGTCGGTAGCCGGTTTTTCAGCCAACACGCCATTCCTAGCGCATCTCCCCAGTAGTGAAGGGGCAGGTTGCTATCCGCGAGCAAGCTCCTCACGCCCTCCAGCAGTGATCGGTTCACCCGCTCCGCAATGCTGTTGTGTTGAGAAGTGTACGGGACTGTGAGCTGCCTTCGAATGCCCTTTGACTTCAGGTATGTGTTGAACTTGGTGTTAACGAATTCTCCCCCGTTGTCCGTGCGAAGCACCTTCAGCTTCTTGTCGCTTTGCCTTTCCGCTTCCAATCAAGGAAGCTCGTGAAAACTTCGGACTTGTTCTTGATTTCTGTCACCCACGCGTGTCGTGTGCCAAGGTCAGTGAAGGTAACGAAATACTTGCTGCCATGTCGTGCAGCCACCCGCATCGGTCCACAGACGTCGGTTTCCACAATAGCCGACGTCTCGTATGGCTCACGTCCCCCATGCTTGGGATGTGGCGCCTTTGTTGCCTACCTTCACTCCCGCTGCCATGTTCTTCTTGATCAGCTCCTAGATTCGAGCATGACCAGCATGTCCCATCCTCCGATGTAGCAGGTTTATGTCCACCATGCTCACTGCTGCTGCCATAGGAAGCGCCTGCTGCTGCAACTCCTTAATTGGCACCTTTTCCAGCTTAGTACGAAGCTCATCACGAGCCACCTTGCTCGCTTCCAGTTCAGCCAGGTACGTGACCTTCTCCCCATTCAGTTTTTCGTGCAGCTTCATCTCATATAGTCCTTGCTTGCGTGATCCTTCCGCTAGCACCTTCCAATCCGCTCCAAAGACCCATATGCTCCCCTTGTCGCTGAAAGTTTTGCATCCACCGCTGTCCAACTGCGATTGGCTTATAAGGTTGAGTGCGAGCTTGTCCACCAGCAGCACGTTGTCCAACATCACCTCACCATAAACACTTTGCAGCACTAGATCTCCTTCCCCTTTCACAGGAAGTTTTTCTTCGTCTCCCAACAGCACGTACGGGATCGGTGATGCTCTGAAATTTTGCAGCCACTCCTTTCGATTGGTCATGTGTTGGGTACACCCACTGTCCATGTACCACTCCTTCCCTTTGAGGCCCTTTGCTAGCAACATCGGCCTTGTGGGCTCCCCCGAGAATGACGTCGTCGTCGCTGGTTTCTGCTTCGGTGGCGTTGATCTTCGCCGGTACACGATTCTTTTGCTGATGCCGCCCTCCCCTGAAGCTCTTGCTCATCAGGTTGCTATAGCAAACGACTACTTTGTGCCCAAATTTCCCGCAATTGTTGCAGTCTCCAGGAAATCCGACTCTTGGTTGTTGTCCTCTTCCGCTTGCTCCTGCTACCTTTCCTTTGAAAGTCTTGCTTTTTGGGTTGGAGTAATAGTCTGCAGTTTTGTGCCCTTTCTTCCCACAATGGAAGCAAGCTCCCAATGATTTTCATGCCCCGGTTGCGTTCAACATGGCGAGTTTGTCGTTGCTGAAGTTGTCCGGCAGCGCCTCCCTTCGCTCTTCCTCAGCACGTATAAGCGCCACGTCTTGAAGGGACTCCACTAGGTCCGTCATGTCCGTCGGGCGTCTGCAGGCCAGCATCCGCTTCTCTGCTGCCCATGACTTCGGTAGGCCGCCAATGATGTAGCTCATCATTTGCTCTTCCGATTCGGGTACTCCCATAGCCGTCAAGTCGTCGTTGTAGCCTTTAGCACGGCCCACGTAGTCCATCACCGTCTCTGAAGGCTCCATGGCCAGCAATATGAGTTTCGTCCTCACTGCTATCATTTTTGTTTTGCTTTTCCCGAGGTACACTCTTTCCATGTACGCCCACGCCTTCTCTGCTGCGTTGTGCTCCTATGAAAATGGGTCGAGTCGTGCTGCGATTGAATCCGAGACCGAGTGGCAGAGTTGAAAGAAAGCTTGTTGGCTTCTTTTCTTGAACGCTTTTTTCTCTTGTGCGGTTGCAGGTGCAAGAAAAGGCCATGGAGCTGGCCAAGCTGACAGAGCTTAGCTCTTAGTTTGGGTATAGCCTCCGGCTAGCGTCGGTTGGAGATAGTCAGTGCTTGGAGAGAATTCTGGTTTTTCAAGACTGATTTCACTCAAAACAGAGAAGTACATCAAATGATTGAAAACAAACAAATTTAAGCATTTCGAATTCTGATGTGCGCCTCGCGTAACGCGTCATCCGCGTTTCAGCCCGAGTCGCACGCGTAACCGAATTCGGTAACCGTCACCAGAACCGAAACCTGTTTGTCTTATCCGTACCGAACACGGTTCGGTTTCGGTTGGACATTCTAGGCTTTGGAAATGTCTTCTCGGGATTTCCCGAACCCTAAACTTCCATCATTTCCGTTTCTTCCCGCTTTCCTCACGTTTTCCTTCTTAGCTCCTTAGGATTCTGTCCCACCGTTCTAGCTGTGGGTTTCCCACCGTTCTTAGCACTGCGCTACGGCCCCTAGGACTAATGCATAGATCGGTAGACACTAGGGCAGTGGCGAACCACCCTAACACTAACGAACCCTAACTGACGGGATCAGGAAGGCGAGACTTACCTCCCTGATCCCGTCGTTATCCCGTCGTTTTGCTTTCAAAGGTGCCGACGAACACCGCCAGAATTGCTCGCAATGGTCCCTTAGAGCTTCGCCGATGAAGCTTGAAATAATCGACCAATGGTAGTGCTCGCGTCATTAGCGTCGAAACTGCAATGAAGGTGCAACCGAATGATTTCCGAGCCGCGAACTCAGAAAAGTAACTTGCAAGTTTATGAAAGTTCCTTCCCCGCAAACCCTAAAAAAGCTGCCACCCCGGCCTCACGCATTTTGGGATGCGGGAATGACGAGAGCTCGGGGAGAAGCTGGCGCGCGTCCATGCGACGGTCGTTGAGGAGGTGAACGGTTCCATGCACGCGATGCGCCACGTCATGCCAATTCTGGCACACTAGCACGTGCTGGAACCTGCCGGGCGCAGAAGCTAGATGGAGGATCTTCGCGAGCAGATCGTCTAACAACCGTTCAATCGGGGCCTCGTCTGCCGTACTGATGGAGCCATTGCGAATGGTAGGTACAGGGGGTGCCTCCCGTTGGTTAACTTCGAAGTAACGAAGAAGGAACATGGCTTTAGTATGGGCTAACGGCTTCACGTTATTCGCGGACGGTCAGCGATCGCGACTTGCTTTTGAATGACAACCAGTGAGGTAGAGTGTCAGCAACATGAGTGGAAGACCAATTCAATGAAGTATTTACGTCATCAAAGCCGCGTGAGGCTGGCTGCGTCTGTTTGATACGGCGGAAACATTTGCTTCTGGATGCTCTTTTCACATCTTATTTTCATTCACAGTTTTTGGGCATGTTCCTACGGCCCCTTATGAAGGACACCTCATATCAGCTTCACATTTTTGCCTGCTAAAAGTACAAGGGTTTTTGGGTTTAGGGAAATTTCAGTGTGCTGTGACCCGAGCCTGATAAGGGGCCGACCCTTTGGCTTCAGCATTCTGTTAAAGGCGGGGTGCAACTTCTTAGGAACAGTAGCAGGACAAATATAACGTGTGCGTAACGGGTCTTTTATTGGACGAAAAAAATAGAATCTTGCAACAAGACAAACTTCTCACCACTGAATTGCATGGGACAACCAAGTTCCAAGCTATAATACCTTGGATTTGAAGCTGATAGTTGGGCCACGGCTTTAACTGGTATCTGTATAGCAGGATTTCTAGGTTGCTGCATCCATAAAATTCAGTACAGGGCCTACTTAGCATCCATTACTGTATACGGCCATACAGTTATTTCATTATGTACATGAAATATTATCCCAGCTGCCAGCTGAAGGCCTTATTGCAAACTAATGCCTGACAGGAACCCTGCAGTGAAGCATTTGCACTGAACCTTACGCATTTGTATCACGGCACGGCAGCTCTTGGAACCGTTGAAAGACGGTTCAGAGGGTGCGACTTCACTTGGTGATGATGAGGGGGCGCATCATCTCGTTGTCCTCGTGCTCCAGAATGTGGCAGTGCCATACATACCCCGGGCCACGCGTCGGGTCAAAGGGGAAGGGCGTGCCATCCTGAGAGATATTTGGTCAGTGCACAAGCCAGTGCAATCAGTTGGCAAGAGCACAACAGCAGCAACTACTCAAAGAGATTATAAAAACAGGAGGTGTGATTGACTGCCCTGGGAGTAGCAGGGAGGGAGGGGGATATTGAAGCTCACCTGGGAGTACCAGGGCGTCCAGAGGGTGAGCACGGTGCCGGGCGGCAGGATGGTGGTGTCCTTCCACCCACGCTCATACGCCGCCACTGGCTGCTGCGCGCCACTGAAGCAGGAGGGTAGCGAGGAGTTGGTGAAGGAGCAGGCGCCGCTGCTGTAGGCGGCGAGGTCGAAGGGGCGGCGCCACAGCGGGCGGTGCTGAATGAGGTGCAGGTGGATGGGGTGCGCGTCCGGCGTCGTGTTGATCAGATGCCACAGCTCCTCCGAGCCCTGCCACCACCCGTGCACACAGCAGCCAGTCAGGAGGCATGAGGGAGAAGGGTATAGAGTAAAAGGAGGCCAGCCAGATACCACGTTGACAGTGGCAGCACGGAGCTCCATAGCCACGCTCTACCTCACGGCTCACCTCTCTGGGCGTCTCAGTGGGCGGGGCGCTGTAGGGCAGGCCACCCAGCAGCAGGCGGATGGGCAGCCCGGTGGCGGGGTCCGTCTCCTCCACCGCCGTGATCCACCGCTCCAGCACCACTCGAGACGTGTCCACAGGAGGGACCGGCTGGAGGGTGCAACAGAGAGCGCGTGAGGGCGAGCGAGGGGGAGATGGTGAAAGAACGAGTACACAATGAAATTCCGGAAGTAAAAGCGTGAGAAATCAAGCACTCACCACGAGGGTCTTGGGAATGCGCGAGGCAGGCACGCGGGGGCTCTCATGGTCGACAATGAAGCGCATGACGACGGCCGTGTCGTTGGTGACCGGCTCGCCCGCAGGGAAGGGCGCACGGGCGTCATTGGTGAGGATGACGTCAGCACAGGAGGAGCGCAGGGTGGAGAAGTCAACGAGGATGTCATAGCGCTGCCCCGGAGACACCAGCAGCGATGTGCGCACCGCGGGCTGAGGGAGGTAGCCGCCATCTGACCCGATCTGAAACAAGTGGCGGGGGGAAGATGGGGTGGAAAGGGGGGAAAAAACGGTGGCAGGAGGGTAGGAGCAATGACGGGATTGGTAAAGTGTGAGGGATGGGTACAGCGGTGCGAAGTGGTGCAGGGTGGAGCTGGGGTGTGAGGGAAACCACAAGCTTACGCACCACAGTGATGGGCAGCTTGTTGCCGGTGAAGGGCGGGGTGAAGTCGGGGTAGTTGCGGGCAGTGGCGCAGATGAAGCGCAGATTGAAGAAGCGCGTGTTGGCCCCCCCCAACACCCGGAAGCGGTACAGCGCCCTCCTCACGTTCAGATACGGCCACACCTGCCATGCATGGCACAGCACGGGGGAAAAGGGGGGGGGGGGATAGGCGGTTGAACTGGGAGAGATAGGGAGGGTGTGGAGCAAGGCGAAAGGCGACGAGGGCGGTGGAGAGGGCAGGAGAGCAGGGAGCTTGCGGATTAAAGGAAAAGTGGGGAGTGAGGAAAAGTGGAGTGTTGGGGTTGAGAAGAGGGGGACAGAGGACAAGAAAGAGGTAGGAGCAGAGCGGGCAGCACCTTGCCGGTGACAAGGATTTTATCCCCCAGGTACTCAGGCACCCAGTGCGGGTGCACGCGTGGCAGCACGCCCTGGCTGGGGTAGTCGATGGAGCCGTTGGCGAAGAAGCGCCGGTCCGACAGCGCCAGCGGCACGTCAAATTCGCCCTGTGGCAGGCACGCGCTGAGCGCCCTCTCCACGCCGCGCGGGTCGGTGAGGATGTAGAAGCCCGCGAGGCCAGCAGCGACGTTGAGGCGCGTGATGCCGATGGCATGGTCGTGGTACCAGAGAGTGGCGGGCAGCTGGTGGTTGGGGTAGCGGTAGAGGCGCGTGCGGAAGGCGCGCCCCACCTCGCTGTACTGCGTGAACCACGCCTCGGGATGCCCGTCTGAGAAGGACGCCTGCTCGCCCCCGTGCCGGTGCGTTACTGCCAGGGGCGAGGGCAGGGGAGGTGTGAGGAGACGGGGAGCGAGTGGAGGAGGGGCGTGAGCAGAGAAGGAGTGTGAGAAGTGAGGCGTTCGAGAACAATGGCTGCTCGCCTCCCTGCTGGGGCATCACTAAAAGGGGGGAGAGAGGGGGGGTTGTGCGTGAGGAGAGAAGAGGCGTGAGAAAAGGAGGGGCGTGATAGCAGAAGGAGCGTCAGGAGAGTGAGAAATGTGGATTCCAGGAGACAGACGCGCCTCACCTATGGGGATGCCCCCCAGCAGCGCCTCACCTATGGGGATGCCCCCCAGCAGCGCCTCACCTATGGGGATGCCCCCCAGCAGCGCCTCACCTATGGGGATGCCCCCCAGCAGCGCCTCACCTATGGGGATGCCCCCCAGCAGCGGGCGGGCGACGTCACTAAGGGTGTAGTCGACGGGGAACATGTGGTGGCGGTCCGTCAGGTGGTTCTCCCAATACACCTGCCCATGCCCGCCCGCCCCACACCACCAACGCAAGGCCACGTCAAAGGCAGCGTTGAGAAGCACAGCAGACAAACGCGCCCTAGCTACCAGTGCAGAACCACGGCAGCAGTGGCGGGGCGGGGGGGCGGCGGTACCTTGGTGGGCACGCCGCGCTGGGCGACGAGCGTGGGGCCGGGGTAGTGCGCGGTGGCGGCGCTGCGCCCATACGCGTACAGCTTCGTGGGCGGCAGGTCGCGGTGCAGCTTCTGCAGCCGGGGAGGGGTGGGGAAGGCGGAAGGGGCGGTGTAGGGCGTCAGGAAGGGGCGAGAGGGGAGGCGAGATAGGGGACGTGAATGCGGGGAGGAGAGACAGAGAATTAGGAAAGAAGAAGAGAAAAAGAAAGCGAGCAAGCTGAAGTACTGCGGAAAAGCGGAGGGCGGAGGGTGGAGGGCGGAGGGCGGGAGCTGGCCTGGCGGATCTGGTAGGCGCCGATGGAGATGGGCGTGCCGGTGGAGGCGTCGATCTGCTCGGGGATGGAGTCGCGCAGATCGTCCACGAACTTGCACAGCCGCGGGAACTCGCTCTCGCACTCCGGCCCCGCTAGAGGCGCCCCCGTTACTGTCATCACCGCGCCGACGCACGCGGCGACTGCTGCGACGAGCAGCGCGAGGCGGAGACGCGGCGGGAGAAGGCGAGGCATGGCGCGCGGTGGGATGGAGGGCGCACTGGGAGAGGAGCGGCGAACGAACGAGACGGACTGAGGCGGTGAGAGGCGCGAGCTGTTCTCGCAGCAGGTCGGGCTCGTAACGAGTGAATGCGATGCTCGATTGATTTGCAAATAAAATTCGCAGCGAGCTGATTATATAGCCCGAACGGCACTCGGCAACCAGGGCGCGGATTCGACATAGTGCTCTCGCGATTCGAGGACTCTAGTGCAAGAGAGAATACGGGCGCGCTGGGAATGAATCTCAGAAAGATAGAGCGACGCACACCCCGGCCTCTCGTACGCCTTGGGATTTCAGCGGTGACAGCAAGGCGGCTTCGATGCGCAAATAGCATACTCGCCGTCGATTCGGCTACGCTGACACTCTAACGGGATCGACAGCCCCGCAAGCGGCCATATCGCCGTTGGTTGGACTGGATTGATTGACAGACTCTGACCCCATCGGCCGCCATTCAGCGCCACGCTGTGGGGCCGTCAGCCTAGAGAGCTCCGTGATGGCAGCCATTGTCCTACCTAGCGACCGCTGTGACTGACCATGATAGCCAACTCGCACTCTTTAGGACTTGTACCGCGTTATGAGTCGGCTTCAGTACAATGACTACGCAGTTTGCAAGGGGTGTAGCTGATAATACTCATTCGTAATTGGATAGTAGGCCCTCAATGCTATCTAGTGGATAGTGTTGAATGCCATGTTCTTTTTTTCTTTATTCATTCATCATAAAGTCAGAAAGGAATATTTCTTGTTACGAAGATATCCAGTACCTTTTAAACAAAACCAATGTAAGATACATCGAAGTGTGAAATAGCCAATAGCGTGCAAGTGTCCTTGAAGTTAACATAAACGTCCAGTCAATTTTATCTGCTTACACCAAGAGTACACACAATTATGCGTTCTTTCGAATGACGGGTATAATGTTAGAATATGGCAGGATATTTGGATAGGATAAGTCCAATAGAGTCAAGTCAAATGAATGTTTTTATAGGTTGATATTGGCAATAATGAATCTAAATCACAATATGATAAAAATAAACATTACATTGCAATTTATAGTCATAGTTTGCCATGTACCCTAAAGGGTACATTCCCGTATTAACGGTAATACATGTATTTGTTAGAAGAACTAGGCAAGAATGGTGCATTGAATGAAACAGTTGGGTACAAGTAGCAAACCCTAGTTGGGGTTGTACCCCATATTGGCTACCCCACTACAGCCTACCAACATATAACACATTACAATTTAACACACCCCCATAGGCAAAGTGGGGGAGAACAAAGGGTCACAAGACCAGTCCAGCAAGGCAACGCAAGCCCAGGGTGGATCACAACGTCACCACACTCCGAGCACAAGCAAAGGCCACAAGGCCAGTTCACATGCAGTGCTAGATATAGTACAAGACAAACAACACAGTGATCAAAACCTAGCAAGCAAGCAACAAGATATATATAAAGTACAGTACAAAGAAAGTCAAGCAGTAAGCAAATGAGGGAATGTGGACACAAGGCCTAAAGAAGTACAGTGTCGCTGATGATCACTAGGCGGGAGTGCCTTGGTGAAGATATCAGCAGTGTTGGCCTTCGAGTCCACGTACACAAGCCGAAGCTGACCGCGCTGCTGAAGCTCTCGAGCAAGAAAGTAGCGAAGAGCAATGTGCTTCGTCCTGTGCTCCAGTCTGTGCTCCTGACACAAGGCAAGAGCTGCCTTGTTGTCACCGTACAGAACTGGAGGAGAACTAGGCCGCTCTCCCAAGTCAGTCAGCAGATAGGTGAGCCAGCGTAACTCCTGTGCAGCCATGGCTGTGGCGTAGATCTCAGCCTCACAACTAGAGCCGAGAACAGAAGAAGAGCGGGTGGACCGCCACGAGACAGAACCAGAGCCAAGGCTGAAGGTGTAACCCTGTGACGACCGCTGCGTAGCCAGGTCGTCCACCCAAGAAGCGTCCGAGTGACCAGTGAGGACAACTCTGTCATGTCCTCCAAGCACCAACCCCATGCCTGATGTACTGCACAAGTAACGCAGCACCCTCTTAGCAGCCTCCCAGTGCTCTCGCCTGTGTCTCCCAGGCGCAACGTAGCGAGCAAGGATGCTAAGTGGGTACGCGAGGTCAGGTCGCGTGCAAGTCATCAGGTACATGAGGCAGCCTACAAGCTCTGGGTACGGGCCACTCGGCTCTACGGACTCGTCCGGAGGTGGAGCTGAGAGCGAGTGGCTGGTAGCCAGAGGTGTGGCCTGTGGTGAGGAGAACTGGAAGCCGAAGCGCTGAAGGACCTGCCGCACCATGTGTGACTGAGTCAGGGTGATGGTGCGGCGAGCTCTGTCCCGGGTGATCTGCAAGCCAAGGTAGCTACGCAGTTCACCCAGGTCAGTGCAGGTGTGTCTCTTCTGCAGCTCCGACTTCACACGAGCGAGTGCCTCAGTGTCAGCAGTAGCAAAGACCAAGTCGTCGACGTACACGAGAATGTAGAACGGCGGCAGCGACGTGTCTGTGCGCAGAAACAGCGACGGGTCAGCAGTAGACGGCGCGAACCCAAGAGCCGCAAGTGTAGTCCTCAGTGTGTCGTGCCACTCACGTGGCGCCTGGCGGAGACCGTAGACTGGCCGGCGGAGGCTCCACTGGGTACCAAGAGGAAACGACCCAGTAAAGCCAGGTGGACGGCGCAGCCAGATCTCCTCGTGCAGGCTGCCCTGCAGGAACGCTGTGCTGAAGTCAAGAGAGTGAAGCTCGTAGTCACGCTGAGCAGCAACGTGCAACAGAACCCGAAGAGTGGTCATCTTCGGGGTGGGGGAGAAGGTCTGGAAGAAGTCGACCCCCTGACGCTGACTGAAGCCTCTAGCAACGTAACGAGCTTTGAAGACAGGCGGAGAACCTGGCGGCCGCTTCACCCTGAAAATCCACATGCCATCGACGATGTTCGCCCCAGGAGGGGGAACCTCGTCGACGTAGGTGCCTGTGGACTTCCAGGATGCCATCTCTGCGTCCATGGCTGTCTGCCACTGAGAGGAGTAGGGACCCGAGATCGCCTCTGCGTAAGTGCGCGGAGTAGGGATGTCTAGTGCATCCGGGTCTCCCTTAGGGGCAAGCAACCAGGCCACGAGATGAGGTACAGCAGCCGCGAGAGAGTCAAAGTCCTCCTGCCTGTCCTCAAGGACGTCCGTGCCAAGAGCACACTCACCCCCGACGGACGGAGGACAGACAGACGCAGACTCAGACTCAGCAACAAGGCGAGCAGCGTAGTCGAGACGACAGGCAGCAGCAAAGTTAACCAACTCAGCGACCAGAGCAGACGCAGCCGAGGACTCAAAGGTAGGGTCAGTGACAACAGTAGCTAGGAGACGCGTGACAGTAGGGTGCTCAGCACGATACCGGTCAGACTCAGGGTCCGGAACGGCAGGCAAAGAGGACGCAGGAGGAGACGGTAGAGGGACACGCTGAGGAGCAGTAGAGGGACGCAGAGTCATGTAGTGAGTGCCTGGGACAGGAGGAGGACGCTCACGACGGACACGACTACCAGTGCGAGCAGGACGAACAGGCGACGCAGGACGAGACTCAGGCTCACGACGCTCTGTAAGACCTCCTGTGGGACCAGTGTAAGGAGAGGGAGCAGGGAGAGGCGAGGTAGGCGGTAACAGTGACTGCGGCTGGACAGGCGGAGGACACTCTACGGAGGGAGGAGGACAAGGAGGAGGAGCCTGCCCAAGAACCTGCTGAAGGAGCGGTACGAAGTACGGTCGCGGCCGCGCAGCGTCTCCAGAAGCAGAAGAGACTCCAGCGGCCGGGTCCTCAGTACCAGCAGGAGCTCCAACGTCCGGGTCCCCAGCACCAGCAGCAGCGCCACCGCTCGGGTCCTCAGCTCCAGCAGCAGCTCCACCAGGTGGGTCCGCAGCACCAGCAGCAGCGCCACCCCCAGGGTCCGCAGCACCGCTAGGAAGAGCACCCCCAGAGTCGGCAGCTCCAACTCCGCTAGCACCGCCAGCTCCAGAGTCCCCAGCTCCAGCAGCTCCAGTCGTAGTGCTCCCAGAACAACCAGTCCCGGCAGCTCCAGTACCCCCAGTACGAGCACCCCCAGGACGAGCAGCTCCAGCACCCCCAACTCCAGCCGAGCCACTAGGACGGCGAAAGCGCCGGACGTACCAGTCACGAAGCTGCTGCGGTGTGAGAGACTGCTCAGCACCCCGAACCGGAGCACCCCCAGACGCAGCAACCCGAGGCTCCGTAGGCTCAGTAGCAGCACCCCCAGGCTCAGTACCCGCAGGCGCAGCACCCCCAGACTCAGCACCCCCAGACTCCGCACACGCAGGCTCAGCACCCCCAGTCGCAGCACCCCCAGGCTCAGCACCCCCAGGCGCCGAACTCTCAGGCACAGTACCCTCAGCTCCAGCACCCGCACTCCTAGCACTCCCAGGCCCAGCACCCGCAGGCTCAGCACCCCCAGGCTCAGCACTCCCAGCAGCACCACCTGCAGCAGCACCTGAGTCACCTGTGACCTCGACAGGCTCAGCGACGGGAGGAGGGTCTACCTGAGAGACACCTGAAGGAGCAGGA